TCTGAAGTGAAGCCAAAAAGTGTTGGTACACTTTTTTCAAAATAGTGTTGAAAATGAAAAATGGTAATTTTATAAGGAAGAAAAAGATATTTCAATTGAGAAGGCGTACTCATTATTGAGATAGAGAAGCGACCATCTAGAAACTCATTTACATACAAGAAAAGTAGCGCAACTCATTTGTAGTTAACAACAAGTGTCGTGTATGATGTTTTTGAAATTAGACACTGCAAATGATACAATAAAAATGAAAATTTTTCTAAAAAACTAGAAACATGTTTGCGTCTAATCTGAACTCTGGTGTAAACAAAGTGTATTTATATGTACCAGAGTTTTCTTGATTTGTTAGTGCAATCGGAAAGTTAGCAGAGTATTTAGATTATAACAGTCGTACAAGTGAGTAGCACTGTATTTTCATTAACGTGTAATAATCCTTTGAGAACAACACCAATCTCTTTCCTATTGTCTTTTAACTCGCAACAAAGCTATACTTTAAAAATATCATGAAAAAGATCGAATAAATTGAAGACTGTGTTATAAATATGAAAAGGACCCTAAAAAAAGTTTATCTATTGAGTTCTTGATAGTTCTAAACGTGAAAATCGTATCAAATCAACCTTGGAGCTACAAAATAGAAAGCTGTTTCAAAAACGAAAAGATATGAAAGGGAATGTGTTCCTCTCTCTCTCCGTTTACTGCAAATATATTCTGAATTCTTTAATCGTATAGATGTTTTTCGTTTCTCTTTATCTGCTTATACGGTGTTGCCGATCACTTCTGCTTTGAGTTTATCTTCTTTGCTATTCATCATTTGTTTAATTTTGATAATTGTTCTCAGATTTATTATTTAAATATGTAGTATTCAATCACGCGATGATACCAATGACTACAATTAACTAGAAACTTTAATTCCCTGAATGCATTTCTAAATCATATGCATATTTGTGTAGAATCAATTAATTATGAACAAGTTTAGTGAGCAATTATTTATTTTAATTTAGCGTTTCTTTTCCAATAAAAGATATACGATATATACTATAATTCATTATTATCCTAGCTCTTATATCACACTTCTAATGAGAATAGAACTTCTCAGATTTTTCATGTTGAAGTTATTCACACGATATTTCAATAATCAAATGCAAAGGCATCATCATGAGATTATATGTTAAATAATTGTCTCTTCTAAAAAATTAATCATAAAGTTCATTCATTATGTTCACAATGTTAATGTTCTTAAATATAATTTGGGAAAAAAACTAATCATTGAGCAATGAAAAAAGTTAGAACACAAAGAAAAAAAAGGACATCTTCAATATGAAAAGAGTAGCCCTTGAAAATTAAAGACAAAAATAGAATTAAAAAAGTAAAGTCATTATGATAAAGCGTAGTAGGATAGCTAGTTGATTAAATTGGTTTTTCAACAACAAAAGCTATTCTTAAATTAAAACAGAATAATAGAAACAACACAAGAAAAATAAAATATCTCAATAGCATTACATTGAAGAAAAAAAAATGGTTATTAAATAGTAGTGTTTATATTGTCATGAGTAGGTACAGAATCAACTCAACATTGACAAGAAGCAAACATTATGTGCAAAAAGAAGGTCTTAGAGATGAACAGAATGTTCACTTTTTGTTTGATGTAATTTTTCGTATCAAGTCTTGGTTGCCATTGATCTTGATAATGTTAATGAAAAGTCTTTTACATGAAATTTTTCAATGTTATAACTATTCTAGTCTCCTGTAGAAAAAAAATCGTTGTAATCTCCAGTTACCGTTCTTTGCTTAGAAATATTTGGCAAAGTAATTTCTGTAATTAAAAAGACAATATCTCACCCACGAAGCTTATCAGCCATATTTCTTGATCAAAAACAAATTTGAGAAAGAAGAAAAATGAAACATCTCTAAGGAGTTCCTACAACTTGGTACGTGTTGTTTCTTTTGAAAGAGAACAAATAATTTGATAATTCTCACTATATCACTGAGTCACAGCTTTAGAAAATGCCATTTTAAATACTTGTATGATTAGTTTTATAATCTTAATAATTTTCATATCATGATAAACAAAACAAGTAATGGTACTTGATATAAAGAATTTTCTTTGAATCATTGATTTGACTGGAAACTTGAAGACAGATCTAAAAATACGTTCCTAAACTATCACACATACTTTCTGATGTCAATTGTTTCTTTCTAAGAAAAAAATGCAGCACAAATGTAAAGCTCAACAATGTCATACAGGCTGTCTAATAAGTTCTGATCCCTGTTAAGTAATATGCTTTTCTTAAGTGTTTTTCGATAGAATGAGCTGATACTTACACCATATATACTAGACACCTAGATCTACTCTACACTAGAATTTCAACTTTCTGTTTCTTATATTCATAGAGATATAAGCAACTTAAAATTCAAAGGATTTTTTGTCACATAATTAATGTTTGTGCCAGAATAAGTGGCTGTGTTTTGCATTTTATTTTGTAATCATTTGATACGTAATATAAACAAAAAAAAATACACGATAAGATGTAGTGTGAAAAGCTCTATAATCTATATAGTGAAGCTAGTTTTTATGAGGTACTTTTTGTTTTCAAACGAGGTCAAGTTCTCGGCAACAGAATTTTCGATGCTGCGAGAAATGGTCGCACATGTTTTTGGAAATAAAAAGTACACAGTTAAAATAAGCTTTACTATATAAATTGTAGAGCTTTTCATGCTGCATCTTCTACTATATTGTGTTCTTTCTTAGTAAAACGCATTGAGCGATCAAAAGAATAAATAAACGAAAAAAAAAGAATTGGTTCATGTATAAAAAAAAGTGATCTTTTCTCAACGTCAAAAAACAATCGCACAGATTTTTTGGTTTTTTGAAGACAAATCATAAAGAATTAAAATAAGTCTCATTATGTAGATTGTAAAGCTTTCCACAGTGCATCTTATTGTGTATTTTTTTTTGTTTATATAACGTATAAAATGATTAGAAAATAAAATGCAAAACACAGCCACTTATTCTGGCACAAACATTAATTATCTAACAAAAAGTCTCTTGTATTTTAAGTTGCTTATATCCCTGTGACTATAAGAAATAGAAAGTTGAAATTCAAGTATAGAGTAGATCTAGGTGTCTAGTATATATGGTGTAAATATCAGCTCATTCTATCGAAAAACACTTAAGAAAAGCGTATTACTTGGAAGGGATCAGAGCCAAATCTATCATCATCTGACTTTGCTCGCCGATGAGAGTCTGTCGCGCTGTTACTACACTTCTAGAAAGACTTCACATCAATCATCTTGACATTTCTATCCAATCCAAAGAATGTTCTCTATGAAATTTCCATAGGTTAAGTTTCATCTATTAAGTAGAAGTGCAGATGTTATTTTATAATAAACACTTCAATCGAGCATTTTTCTGAATTCAGTTTACGCCGATTAGAACAAGAGATTGATGACAAAAGACTATCATGCACTTTTCTCGTTCCTGTTCCATAAAGAGGAGAATATGTTTTGTGTTGATCTTTTTCGATTATCAGCAAATTACATGTATCAAAAAAAGACTTATTTTCTTCTTTCAGCAATCCATAACACACAGGCTTAAATCATATTCAATCTACATTTAGTGATTTCTTTCTCAGATTTCAAGTTGAATAAATATCATTTTGTGAATAGTAGATGTCAAAAAGAGATAAGACATAACAATATAGGGTAGTCTAAAAGTAATTGAACAATCTTTTATTGTGAATCAATTTTGATAAAAACCATGTAGAACACTGCACTTTTTTATCACTGGAAATATGAAATAGAGACGCATTCTATAAAAAAAAAATTTTCTAAAATTCTTAAGTTTTCTGGATCAATTCTAACAAAATTGTTAGAAAAAAGGATTTCTTATAAAATAAGAAAAACACACAACTGTTATTTTTGTTAGATAGGTTAATAGAAAAATTGGCTCAAAGTTTCTAGCATGATATCTATAACTTGTGAACGAGTAACTCTCGAAAGTAGATGTTCAAATGGACACATGAAAAGTTTAGTAAAGCCATCCTACAGAGTATGTAGGTTCTTGAAAAACTAAATAAAAATATCGTAAACTATTAGACTCGATATCTCTTCATTTTCTCTTTTGAACGGTAAAAAATCATACTTCTTGCTCTTGTTCCTATTAAAAGTTATTCGCAATCAAAAACTGTCCGGTTACCTCTGGGCTCGCTCTGTATATATACTAGCTACACAGTAGTAGAACGATAAAGACAAACAAGTAAACTTGAGTTGGGGTTGCATGACCTTTGTGATCTTAAGTGCAAAAAAAGAACGCTTTCTCCGTTATTCATTCAATCCAATCGTGCGATCAGAGTCTTGCTTAGAGATGCCATGCTTCAAACAGTTTTTATTAAATAGATACATATTTTTAAGAGTCACAGTTGTCTTCTAAAAAATCTTACCAAATCGACCAATTTGTTATTTAATTAAATGATATTTTGATCGTCTGAAATATTAAAAGATAAACAAGTATTCAACAGATCAAGTTTTTTAAAGCTATTCAGAGTGAAAAATTTGAAGACAGATATATTCCTCGCCTGTATTCAAAGAGTTTGAGGCGCTTTTCTTTCTAACTACCAGCTAATATACACAAAAGTATATGAAATTAGTACATTACTAGCTAATATACGATTAATCATTCTATTTCATTGAGTCTGTATGCTATATGAGTCATAGAATGCAAGTTGGAGAGAAGAAAGAAAAATAAGTTTTGTTTTCAACCGTCATAGGTTATCTTTCTCATGTTTTCATTTTCCCCTGTATTGAATTTCCTACGATGTACAAGCACTGAAACACAAAATCCAAAATGATGTATTATCATTTCCTAACCTTTTGCGTTCTAATCAAAATGACACGACACAATAAACATGTTCTCATGATTATTAAACGTTTACTATATAAATACAAAGAGAAATCAGTATGGAAAAGTGTATTCTTTCTCAACATATCAATAAAATCTAATAACAATGTCACAAACAACAATATTCGTAGTATCTTCTTTGGTTATTCTTGTTGCTTTGAGTAGCAGTTATGCTTGGAACTTTGGCAACATGGACCAAATTGCACAATCTTTTATTCAACAACATGGAATGCAAGCATCAGGTAATGGTAATGGTGGTCAAGGAAAATTTGCCATAGGATCTTGTGTCAGTGCTGCATCTAATGGTAATTATATGGCATGTGTCGGTCAGTTGGCTCATAAAATTTGGACTTTACATAATTGGAGTGAAGATACACCAATTACACTTTGTGGTATGCAATGTGTTGGCAATCTTAAAGGACGTATTTCAAAGTTGAAATGGAAATGGGATGCCAAATTTCGATGTAATGGTAAAGCACCAGGTATCGAAGGACATGATACAAAACAGAGTCGAAATGGAGCTATGGAATGGGCTATCCAAGATTTTCTCTCGAAAGCATTTGCATCGGGCAGTATTTCTGTTGAAGATTTTCAATGTTAAATTATAATAGTTATATTTTATTTTTTTCTTTTATCAGTGTGACCATCGTAATCTGGAAATTCGATTATCTTTTAACGTTTTCTAATAAAACAATTCATCTTGAACTGGTCGACTTGAGAGCATAAAGGCAGAAATAAATCAAGCACTTTATAAAGCGCCAAAGTCTATTGGAAGACAGAAAGTGTGATTGAGTGTCTCCTCCAAACACTTCTCATTTGTGAACATGAAGAAAATGAACTCAGAGTACAATAAAATTGGTTCTAAATAAATTTAAAATTGAGCTAAAGTTGATAATGCGTATTTGGATAAGTATTGACTAGTTGATTTGTTTTATTTTTTTAATAAAGTGATACTCTTAATGCACGAAGGATTGATCATCTGGTTAGAGAGTTAGCTCAGAAGAAATGTAATCGAGGTCACAGTAAGATTTCAACAAGATTTTATGAAAGTGAATAATAGTAATTCAATATTTATAGTAAATGAATTTATGTTGTGTATGAAAATACGGCACTCAACAATACTCATATTGCAATGTAGTCGTTATTTGTGGAATATCACTTTCTGAATTTTTGTTTTGTACATGAATCCTATTGCAACTTGCCTAGATAATGTCAATTCGATGTTGGATTCTCTATTATGACGATGATTCGATTGTGTTTTGAAATTCTGAAAAACTACACGACATTCATAGTAACAATGATATCTAGAGAACTATTGTAGTAAACATCAGTTAGCAGGGCCATTGAAGACACAAGTTTTATTAAAATTGATGCAAATTCTGAAAATAAAAATCATAAGAAATTTAAAATGTAAGATTATTATCTATTCGGATAATTTTAATTGACAACAAGCATTAGAATTGTGTCGAGCAGATTCAAAATTTTGATTTTATGTTTGCAAATGACAAAACGACAGATGTACATGAGCGTTCGATAATATTGATTACTCATTATAATATGTTTTGATCAAAGGTTTTTGTTCATATATTCAATCGTTCTAGAAATTGATTGATTAAGTGGCATAATGATTCATTGTTTTTGTTTTAAAATCATTTCATACTTAGTATAGGATAGTATGAAAATTGGTTCTGTTAATTTTTTGGTTTTCATGATGATAGATAAATTTTTATCTGATAATATTCTTGTCATTTTCAAAATAGACAAGAAAATTTCAACAATGATTCAATTGATTTGGTTTTGAATATTTTATGTATGTACATGCTATCTTTATTGTTTTCTGAGAGTGGACAACCAACAAGTAAAGACAAAGAAAAAAAAGAACACATTCATTTTGTTTTTCTTTTCTCTTCTAATAAATTGGTTCGCATGGTAAGTTCAGGAATTTAGACTTTTGATGCTTTATGTTACATGGTGTTTCCTTCAAATCGAACATTGAATGATATTTCGATAGAAGTTCTTTCAAATCAGCTACAAGCGGATCAGAATAAAATAAATCGGAATCAAGAGCGTTGTCAGCATGGATTCGTTGTTTTCGATCAAGTGTAAGTCATTGATCGATTAAATGAAGTGCTGATGGTTCTTTAATGTAATTTTTCATGTGATCGTAAAGTTTTCGATATTCACCTCCTAATAAGTTCATTTTATTGTAGAGTAGCAATGAATCGACACTAGGCCAAAGACTCAGTTCAATACTACTACATAGACTTGAAATTAATTGAAGTTGATGCTGTTCAATTTCTCCATGCATTATTGGCCAACAAATCCGCATTTTAGCAAAGATACATCCTACACCCCACATGTCAATAGCTGGACCGTTGTTTCGTTCACCTAATCGCAATTCAGGAGGGCGATGATACCACATTGTAACCACTAGATAAGTATGCCGATTTTTCCAGTCGAGTTTTGGTAAAATAATCATTTTCGACAGACCGAAATCGGTCAATTTGAGTACACCATTACGTGCAATTAAGATATTGGCTGGTTTAATATCTCGATGAATTATATAATTTGTATGAATATAATAGAATGCATTCAGTAATTGCTGCATAATAGACTTTATGTGTTCCAATGCGAATTTAACTTCCACGTTGCGTAGAATACTTTAATTTTATTGCAACTAGTTCATTTGTTTTTTGAACATCGTGCTTTCAATACTTTCCCATATGTTCCTTGACCAATTTTGTCGATACGTTCATATTGGGATATGTCACCAATGAAAGGAAATTCTAATGGTAGCGATGGTTCGACTTTGTTTGAATCAGCCATTCTTTTGCAAGATGCAATAAACTAATTACTGTGTGAGTGTGTGGTGCAGAACGTTCTTGCCATCTTTACACATTCGTTGTCATCATCATTACAGAACAGAAAAAACCCATGTGTATACGGCAGTGATTGGACCAGTAAAAGTACAAGTATTTTCCACTTAATCACTGCACTCTGTACGTTTATTCAAGTGTACTTTAGTACCGATACTGGGTACGAATGTACTTAGTATACTGTACTTAACGCAATCTACCCAAGTACAACTTCGAATATAGTTTTGACTAATATTTTTCGTATTGCTATGCAATATTTTTGTAGTCTAATGACACCTACAACAAAGTAAGAGTGTGGATGTGCGAATCAAGACAAGATTCACACCCACACTCACCCTACTTATCCGTGATAGAAAACAACTCTGTCATGTCATATTATGTTCATTTTCTATGGTTTTTTTTACAAATAATTGAACTAACCATATAACTCTTACAAAAGTGAAAAATTATATCGTTCATAGTGGTAATATGCTTGAAAGTGAAAAAGTTTCATTTTCTCTTTTCTTCAAAATTCAACGAAAGTAGCTAAGATTTTGATAATGGCGATATTCATCAAGGTCTCCATAAGACAGAATACTGTTAAACTTTTTCCTCAGGTGATACACTCAAATATGTTTCCTCGTAAGGATTTGTTTCTGTTCCTATGAAGTATAATAATCCGTGTAATACAAACACAATATATTCGATTACTCATATGTAGAAAGAGAAAAAAATATTATACGTGATCAATGTTATGTTAAACTATTGTTGTAAAGTTAGATGAATTATTAGAAAGAGGAAACAAAAATATCTTGTGTAATAAAGAAATAAATAATCACAAATGTACATTGCATCCATATTTGACATGGATCAGTTTTGCCGAAATTATAGTCGGTAGAAAAAACAAAATGTTTTCAAATCAGATCTCATCAAAATGCAGAACAAAAATGCTTCTTGAGTGATGTAAACGAGTTTTATCAGAGATTAAACATCCTTTTTCTTCGTAAATCGATATGATTTCTCACAGAACTGATAAAAATTAAATCATTGTATTATTTATCAATTCCTGTTTCTCTTACGTGAAGTTCGACATTAGTCACATTATTGTGATTAACCTTCGAGTTGGAAAATGGTTAGCTTTCGCGCTTATAATTAGGCGTGTACTGAGATATGTGTCTACTCATAAAATAGTGAGGTTACTGCATATGTGATTATAAAAATATTTAAATTAATTGATTGATTAGTTTAATAGAAAAAAACAAGTGTATATACTCACATGAACAATATATGGGTGTATCCACCAGAAATTCTCAGTCGATCCGGCGACCACGTCCAAATCCAATGAAACTTTCAGGGTTTGTAGAGCTTTTTGCGCTGATCATTTTTGTTTAAAAAAATTTAGGATTAGTCCTTGTCTTCGCAAAGATACATGTCAAATACTATTAGCACTTTTCTAGTTTTTTGCAAAAACTAATGCGACATTTAACAGAAAAATCGATGAAAATGCACTATCCTTCGCTCGAATTTTGAAACCAATGTGATATTCTGATTCCTCGTGAGAAACTGCATCAGAATCTATAGGAATCAAAAAATTTTCATGGGCTTCTGTGGGGTTCTCCTGTTGATCAGTGAAGATGAATGTTAAAAAAAATAAATAAGAAAGTTAGAATGAACGAGAAAGATGACATGCAATCCGACAGAGCATCACTTGCTCTATAAAGTGGCCTATTTAATTGTCCTCTCACATTCGATTTTGAAAGCAGCGATAGTCAAGAACGTTTTATATAACAATTTTTCAGAATATTTTGATCATGAAAAATCAACTCTAATGCAAAATAAACATGATATTTAGAGTCAGCATAAAAAACTGCATCGACACCTTTTATTTTACCAAAATATTTTTTCCACCACAATTTGACCCGTAGGGTACCTCAGGACGAAATTCAAAAAAACAATGCTGAGGGGAAGTAGGGGTCAAATTTTGATGGAAAACATATTTTGGTAAAATAAAGGTGTCGATGCAGTTTTTTATGCTGACTCTAAATATCATGTTTATTTTGCATTAGGGTTGTCGTTTCATGGTCAAAATGTCAAAAAATTGCTATATAAAATGTTCTTGACGATCACTGCTTTCAAAATCGAATGTTGGGGGACAATTAAATAGGCCACTTTATAGAGCAAGTGATGCTCTGTCGGATTGCATATGTCGTCTTTCTCGTTCATTCCAACTTTCTTATTTATTTTTTTTAACATTCATCTTCACTAAGTCAACATGAGAATCGTACAAAAGCCCATGAAAATTTTTTGATTTCTATAAATTCTGACGCAGTTTCTCACGAGGATTCAGAATATCATATTGGTTTTATGATTTGAGCAAGTTATCATAAAGCAGTATCAAGTTTTTGATGAAAGAGTGCTAAAAAAAATGCAAAAATTATGAAAATACTTTCGTAGTATTTAGCCAATATCTCAGCGAAAATAGAGGCGAAACCCAAACTATTTATTACCAAAATCACCTGCGCAAAAAGCTCTACAAACTGTGAAAGTTTCCTCAAATTCGAAGGAGATCGCCGGATGGATCTGGCGATTTCTGGTGGATACACCCATATGTTCTTTCTTTCTAGATAATTCTCACTTAATAATCTTTAATCAATAACCTTCACTAATGAATATTAACTCTTGAGAAAAGTCGAAACTATACTCGTCCAATTTTGTTATACATAATGCTCGCCTTTAAGATAGTATAGATCAATTGTTATAGATGTCCTGTTTCAGTTCTTTTCAGATCATTTAGAACGAAATCTATAGACACTTAAGCCGTCTCATGACACTCTTCAAGAACGACCATAACGCGTCGTATGGTGCTTTGAATCTAATTCTCTATAAAATTCATCTCACCCCTACCCTCAAGATAGAGCATTCTTTCCTCTATCAGACTGTATAGAGAGAAAATTTCCTCAACCCTTCTATACGAAATTGAGATGTGGTCGCCACTACTTTTGGATATTCCTAAGTAGTTTCATTTATTCATAACTCGTTCGTATATATATATCATCTTTATTTTTCTAATACAAAAGAAAGACAACCGTTTTCTTAATTAAAATAAATAAAAACACAAATAAAGAATGAATCTATGGAGTAAAATGAACTTTAACTAGTTTTATTCAATTATTTCCATTGTAAATAGATGTTATCAATTACATATTTAATACTAAAATCACGAAGAAGTTTTTTACGATTGATTATTTCTTTTAATTTTTCAATAATTTCATCATTTGCTGTTGGAATATGAAGACATAATGATTGAAGATATTGATTGCAAACATTATTAATTTTTTTAAAAATGTCTTTCATAAGTAATTCTACATCCATATTATGTATAAAACCAATTTTAAGATATTCTATATGAGGACAAAGTTTAAGAAGAAAATAAATTTCTTCAATTTCATTCATTTTTTCTAAATAAATTTTTATAATTTTATTCTTCTTTGATTTAAAATGAGAATATTTATTTTCATTAAATGAATATTTTGATTCTGATAACTTCAAAGAAGAAATCTTTAATGTATCAAGTGCAGAGAATTTATTGATTATTTTCAATAATATATGAGAAGAGATATTTTCTTTCGAAATTTCCAAATGATAGATTTGTGTGATGGATAAAATATCACGAATAATTAAATCTAATACCATCATATGATCATCATCAGGAAGATTTGTAATTTTAAGTCGAGTAGAATTTGAAATCTCATTAGCAGGGTCGATATCATACCATCTTTCTCTACAAGAAAACAAATCATTTATAAATTCCTTAAGATTATTTTTACTGTACTTATATGAATGAACTGAATAAATATATTCCATACCATTCATTTCGATATCTAATATCCATTTTCGTTGATTCCAAAATAATGAATTAAATTGATCAGGTGGTTGAAAATTTGCTAAAGATTCTGATTCAGGATCAATATCTTGACAATATTCTACATAAAATTTTTCTAATTTAGATAAATAATTAACAATCAATTCTTCCCATTGTTCATCATTAATATAATCATTATAATCAGATTCACCGATAATATGTAAAAATTTTAAATTACATTTGGTATCTATAATGGATGTTTTCAATTCATCAAATGTTATAGAACATATTTTTATTGAAAGATATGTTAAATTAGAACAACGAACTGGTAATACAATTTCATCATCTGAATCATTTTCAGATAAATTCATTAAACTTAAATGATAAAGTTGTGGTGTATAAGATATTAAAATACAAAGTGTATTAAAGGTACATTCATGATTAATAATAAGATATTTAATAGTACTAAACTGTTCATGATTAGCAATTGCTAATGAGATAGATGTAAAATGTTCATTTGCTGAACATTTAATATATTTTAATTTTGGTAAAGTGAATATTAATTGATAAACTTCACTTAAATCACGAACTGCATATTGTATATCGATTATTAATGAGGTTAAATGAGGTAATGAAGATAAATTAATAAGAAGTGAAATAAGTGAAGTTAGTGGAATTTTTTCAATAACAATTAATTGAAGATGATGAGAAAAATTCATTTTTTTGTATATAAAATAAGACTATTTGATGTTTATGATTAAGTAAAAATTGTTTAAAATTATTCATATGAATCTTATCAGATGTTGTTAAATAATGATAATTAAATTTCAATAGAAGAGATGAAGAATTAATTAATTGTTGAAAACGATGATTAAGATTTGAAAATGTTTGATAAATTTCATAACCATCAAGATATTCAAATATTTCAAAGAAAAATTCATTTGATAAATTTTCGATTAAAGTTATTGACATGTTCAAAGATGAATGTAAAGATTTTAATCTAGAACAAAAAAATAAAATAAACAATTTAATTATCTCCAATATACATAAATATTATCTCCAATACGTTTAATCATACAATTCCAAAGTAAATTTTTAACAATGATTATAGTTTCTAATTTTCTAACCATCTTATCATCTGCTGTTGGAATCGAAAAACATAATAATCGAATTAAATGATAAGATTCACTTTTCATAAGTGTTAAAATAAATTTTACTAATAATTCAGTTTTCATATAATTAACACATTTGATTTGAAGATAATTTATATGAAGAAAAGTTAACATCAATAAATAAATTTCTTCTACTTCATTCATCTTCTCAAAATAAACTTTTGTAATTTGATTTTTTACTTAATAAAACAATAACATTATCGAGTTCTTCATCTGATAAATAATCTGTTTTTGAAAATGATAAAGAATGAATACGTAATGTATCAAGTTCAGGTAAGTTATATAAAATTTCACATAATTTATTAAAACAAATTGTTTCTTGAATTTCTAAATGATAAATTTTTGTTACAGCCAATACATGATCTATATATTGATTAATCGATAATGTTTTAAACCATTTTTCAGGAGATACATCTTTTATAATCAATCGTATTGGTTTAGAATGTTGATTTATTACGATATGTTGTTTATCGTATTCATACCATCGTTTTCTAAAGAAAATAGAGCGAGATTATTCAATAAAAATGTTTGTTTCGTGTTTTACTTATATGGACGGATTGAATATTGGACTGTATCAAATTCAGTTTCAGTTTCTAATGTCCATTGTCGTTGAAGCCAAAATGATGAAATAAATTGATCTCGAATTCCGAAATACATTGGAGATATATCATCATCTCCAAAATATGCATGGTATGTAAAATAAAAATTTTCTAATTGTGGTAAATTATTTAAAATAAAATTTTCCCATCGATTAGCATTAAGATAATCAATATCTTCAGATGTACATCCTAATGATAATACTTTGAGTTTTGCATTTAATTTATTAATAAATATTTCAAGTTTATCAGCTGGTATTTCATCTATTTGGATATAAAGACGAGTTAAATTTGATAATGTTATTGATTTAATAACTTTAATGTTAATATCCTCGTCGGTTAGACCTGAAAATGTTAAATGACGAAGTTGTGGTACATAAGATATTAAAGTACAAAGTTCTTTAAAAGCAAAAGGATGCTCAATAATAAAATATTCGATATTACTGAACTGTTCATTGGTAGTCATCGGCAATAAGTCACATGTAACATATATTTCTGAAGAACATTTAATATATTTCAATTTGGGCAAAGTAAAAATTAACCGATAAACATCACTTAAATCATTTATTCTATGTTGTGTATCGATTGTTAATGAGAAAAGACGAGGTAATGAATATAAATTAGCAAGAAGTGATAGAAGTACATTTTCTGAAATATCAATGATGATAAGTGATTCCAGATGATCAAATGATCAAATGATGAATCAATTGAAAATGATGACAAAAAGTCATCTTTTTCTAATGGTAATGTTATATGAAATGAAAGTATTTGATGTTTATTATTAAGTAAAAGTTGTTTATAAGTATTTGTATAGACATTATCAGATGTTAAATGATAAAAATTAAATTTTAATAAAAGAAATAACGAATTAATTAATTGTTGAAAATGATAATTTAGATTTGAAAATGCTTGATAAATTTCGCAATCACCAACATATTCAAATATTTCAAAGAAAAATTCATTTGATAAATTTTCGATTAAAGTTATCGACATGTTAAAAATGAATATAACGTTATAATCTAGAAGAAATAAATAAAATATGCACACATGTTTGTTATTTATTCTGTTTATGAACTGGATGTGCTGTGATGATCTGACGAAATGATGGTTATATGTATTCTGTTTTCTTCTTTTCTTTTCTTTCCATTGCTTCTACTGATTTTTAAATAGATGATCGAACGAGATAGATGTTATCGATTTGTTATCATTTGAGAAAAGTGAAAGATCAATATCAAGTTTTTCACTATTATCATATACTCTGCTTTTTCGATTACAAAACAATTTCATTTTGTATATCATTATCCATCCGATTCAATCGTGTATTAATTGAAATTCAACGTTCAACATTCTTTTCTCAAACCAAAGAAGGAATCATGATAGCTTCGACCCACCAGTATAAACATCATTTTCACTACATTATGGTGTAGCTATGAATTTACTTCTGTATTGATTGTTTTCATTGGAACTTAATTCAATTATAGGGACTGTACCATCTAAACATATACCTGAATGGCAGAGAAATACATTGTTATAGCTCAGTATTTACCTGTTATGGCAGGAAAGATATTTCCTGCCATAACATTACCCTCACCTTCTTTTTGACAGACGGTCTGTCCACGTAACGATATACTCCAGTAGGCGAAGTTGACCTACCTGATCGGCTGAAAATAATATGACCATCGTATAGAGCGTTGTCTATAGCACACAGAAACGAGTTTCCCGATTTATAAGTTTATTGCTTTGCTTGAAAAATAATTGTTACAAAGCCAACGCGCCTCAAACGTTACAAAAGTCAAAGTTGAATAAAGATTTATATCTTCGGATTTTTCATATGAATAAATATACATTTTCCGAAATCTCTCACATATAATAAAGAAGCTTTCAATAGTCTGTAGAGATATGACAATTGGACTGCGTTTGGTCGCTTCTTCAAAAAATTTATTTATATTTATAAAACTAATACATGAGTGATGGTGATTCCATCACGAAACTTCCATGTAATTCAATTTTCAGTTATGAATCAGCTGTTTTTTATTCCAACGAAAGGTGCATTAACTACAGTTTCTTGCGTTCTATCGAATGACCTACTTGACAATTTCTATACACATACTCACTGTTTAAAGACATCATGACGGAATCACCATCCAATGGTTATACAATATATTAAAGCATCGATTGCCATTCAAGTTGTTATTTCAAACAAATATTTACCGTGAGATAAATGATTTAACGAGTCCTATTTATTAATTGAAAAGAATATCTACGATAATTTTAGTTATTTCTATCAACTGTTTTGATGACACACTATTTGGTTACTAAAGACTATAGTGATATCGTTCGTATAGTCGACGTTTCTTAATTTTTTAATTCAACATGCTATTACACCATTTATATTTTACTTTTTCTTACTACATTTTCGTTTTTCTCTCATTTAATTTTATACTATGATTGCGACCATGTGATTTTACGACTGTAGGTTCGATATAAGCATCACTATAGACTGCATACGAAAAAAAGTAAATACCCAGGTGCATCAACCCGATACCGGATTCGATCGGATCTTGTAGGACCCAACCAGCCGATAAAATCCGATCGGATCCCGAGGTATTTCTGATGATATCCAAGTGTTGGACTGACAGAATATTCTGATGATCGGACTGAATCATTTATATTTTCGGAGGTATCATATACTTCCGTCGGATTGCATCGAAAGATATCGAATGGAGATAGATATATATGTCAAAATATTGTAAATTTATTTTTAATGTTTGTAAATTTAAAAATCCGTTGGATTGCATCGGAAGATATCGGATGAGGATAGTTATACAGGGTGTCCGGAAAGTCATTTAACAAAAGTTTTTTCGTGCATCTTTGCTATTTCATTTAACTTTGCCAACAAACTTTTTTTTATATTGTAGGTGAAGATACCGAGTTTTTATTTATCCGAACGACCTTCCATACTACTATGCAAAACCATCATCTTGAATCGAAATTCGAAAATTTTGTTTTCTTTGCGAGATGCAACTAATTCAAAAATCGACTAAGGTTTTTTCTTTGATATTTCCATATGATTAGATAGAGGTCGTCGAGTTCTACAAGAATATGTATATTGAAATGTTCTTAAACCTTTTCTTTAAAGCAAAATTTACAGAAAAACTACTACAGACAGTCGAAATAATTAAAGAAAAGAACGGTACAGAATGTCCTTCTGGAAATACAGAAAAAGCAAAATTTTTGTATTTCGATCCAAGGTAATGGTTCTGCATAGTAGTATGGAAGGTCGTTCGGATAAATAAAAACTCGGTATCTTCACCTATAATTTAAAAAAAAAGTTTGTTGGTAAAGTTAAATGAAATAGCAAAGATACGCGAAAAAACTTTTGTTAAATGACTTTCCGGACACCCTGTGAAATTCTAGCCATTTTACTAGGATGATCTGAATTACCACCAACTGGTTAATTCAAATTACTTTGATATAGCAGTTAGCCTTTTTGTAAAAGGACTATTCAAAATATTAAATTTTTTTTTTTTGAAAGATTTTTATATGATTCGATTGAGAACATTTGGAGCTATCGTTAAATTTAAAAAATCTTTTTCCTTTGATACAGTATGACTAAAAAGTGAACAAAATACATTTATTTTTTTGAATGATCTGAATTGCTTCAATTGACTATAAATAACTTGAAACGTATCATCGCATTAACGTTACGCCATCTTTTAAACATTATTATATGGTACTCTAGTGAATGTACTGAGCTAAGGGTACCCGAAAAAGTACCCTGCTACTAGTATGTCACAGGAACTTTCGGGTACTGAAGTACCTTAAAGTACTTTTAGGTACCTATAAGGTACTCGACCAAGTACCCTGCTGGAAAGCATCCAGTAAATGGGTACTTGAAGGTACTGATCAAGTACCCAACTGGGTACTATTGTTCAGTAATTTTGGGTACCCTGTTGCCAAACTTGCAGTATGTTGATGATCGAAACTAACCTCTGGCTTTTTTTCATTTTTGTTTCTCTCAAAGCAATTTATGATATTTTCTCTATTTTATTTTATTTTATTATTCTAATTCTGAAAAGCCAAGCAGGTCAAATTTCGAGATCTGACTGGACACGAATTGGTCGGACCTCCATCAGAACACTTCAAGGTAGTCCTCTCTCAATCTACGATTGAGATCAGCATGTCCTCGACTAGTAAATAGTCAAGAAAAATAATCTAGAAAAAATTAGTATGAAAAAATATTTTTTTCTTATGCTTCCTCGAGTTGCTTATATGAAGCCGTATATGCAAAAGAAAACGGTGAATGAACAGTTGCTACACAGAACGCAACAAATCTAGGGTACCCTGTAGAGCTTTTCCTAGTAAAATTACAGGTGCGGGTACTCATGCAAGTACTTGTTCAGCAAACACACTGCAATGGGTACTCAATGCAGCACCTACGTCAGTATAATTACTGAAAATTTTCGAAGTACCCATATCGGGTACCCTGCTGAGGCTTTCTCAGTACATGGGTACCCTGAACTCAGTACTTTCTCTAGGGAATGACTTTAAAAAATTAATTTTGTTTCGACAAGTCGATGTCTACAGAGCAAGAACGGAGACTATAACATTGATTCGTATCTGTCACAGTTGATATGGGAATTTAGTTGCGTTTACAATGCGCGAAATAATTTTATACAACTCTCATAGGAAAAAAAGATTTTATTATAGACATAAAGATTCATAAACAACGTGAAATAATTCATTTAGAAAAGATTTTACAAAAAAGATTTACATAAAACACAACAGTGGAAAAATATTTGTTTTTATTTTTTTATATTTTATTGACAAAGAATCAACGATTTTTGTTGTGCACATTTCAGGTTTCTGAATATTCTATTATTTAGATTAGTATGAGTCATACAATAATTGATGTTTATTGTTGTATTCAAGTTTTGATATTATTCAGATATAAAATAATTACTTGATTTAGAATTATTTATTGCATCATTCTGAAAATATTTATCCATTGTAATGTTTGAATTTAAACAATTCCATGACATTCACCAAATACTAAGTTTTTCTATAAGAACAATTATGTGTCATATACCATCAATTGATCTATTGAGAGAAAAAAATTAGATTTCATTTTCATTAGTACATATAATCATTTATTTTGCTGACATATCGTAATAATAAGACATATACGTTTTATAAGATAATTTTACTTTTAAAAATCTTCATCATTCTCTCTCTGCTCGCCATACGATCGGTTCAATTATTATAAAAAAAACATCAAAATATCAACATGAAACTCTAGTTTTTAATATTTTTGATCATTTATATGAGAATCCTGAATGAAAATCTTTTTCCAATAATGACTTGAAACAATTCTATTTATTAATTATTGAAAATTCAAGAATTATTCAATGAGTACATTATTAGAAAAGCAAAAATAAGAAAAATTTATATTTTTTGCACAAAAAACAAACAAAACACTTGTTCATAGTATAAAAAGAAAATATTTATTCTTCAATCAATTTTAACCAATCATTCGAGATCTTCATGTGCCAATTATTTGAGATACATTACAACAAGAATTTATACTTATTGCAGAAAAACAAAAAAAAGAAAGACCCTTCCTCACTGTATGAAAAATGTTTTATTATTATATATTAGCGATACTGATTACTAGAAAATTACAAAAATATTGTTCCAATCTCATCCAGACTCTTCTGGCACATCTCTTTCATCTACAGATCAGTTTATTTTTCAGTTGATTTAAACTTCATGTTGCGCATTTAGTAATATGTATGCGAGTAATGAGGAGAAATCGAAAGAAAAAGAGACAGGAAAAAAATGACTCTTCATCTCCTCTGTATTTTCTTTTGGTCACAGTTGAGTAACTTTTTATTTTAATCGGGTACCTGCTCAACTATCTCTCAATCATCGCATACCTTCTATGTTTCTTCGCTTCGTTGTTATTATTTTCATTGTCGATGATAGTCACCACG